ACTGTCTCTTCAGACTTGGTCTCTTAGGATCATCCACAGGTACCTATACTGTAGATAGGTCTTAGTCATCAGGTCTACTCCACTTCCTTGTTGCCTGCTTAGACTCTTGGCACTCTTAGGTGAGCAGACTTAGTCAGCCTGTGTTTAGTCAGCCTGTGTTGCCCTAACAGACATATGAATGCTGCTAATCTCAAAGGTAAGTTGACAGCACTTTTTGGTCAATGCTGGCTGAGAAGTTGTCCCTGTAGTGTGACGGGAATCTCAACATTGAGCACACCTGTGAAGTGGGTATCAGAGTATCATCCAATATGCCTTTAGCCAAACCAGTAGCATGTCGCAGGTGAAATGAAGAGGTACAAGGGGAGCTGAATGAAATTTGCACATCCAACCAGTACATTCTCCCATCATGAGCTCATGAACAGGCCAATTTCCCAATAACAAGTCATGTACGGATTTGCGGATGACAGGTCATAAGTCTTCAGGAATAAAGCCAAGCAGGAGAGGAAAGGGAATGAGATATACATGGTGCCACCGAATGGCATTGTCCACAAACATGGCAAGCAAACAGTGAAATTTGGGGCTGAGAGTTGTAGATGTGATGACAGAGGGCAGCAAGAAGTCAGCCTAGGGATGAGGTCAGCATGCCAGCAGGCAAGAGGCAAAGTTGACTGAAACTAACCCAATAACTGGCAAGGTAGAGAAGATACCATTTGGTCCCATGGACCTGGCTTGGATCAAAAGCTGAAAGTGTGGCCATCAGGTGCCAGAGGTCTGATCCAAGGGCTTGTTCTTGACAGTATCTGGTTGCTGCCTGTCAGATGACAATATCATGTTGCACACATCTTTGCATGATCAAGGCAATGGATGGTGGGCACTGGAGCAACCACTCCAATGAAAATTGGCCGGAGATAGCATTGCATGTCTGCAACAGAATTCCATGTGTGGATAACACCCTGGCATTTGGGCACATGAGGTGACAATGCATAGTATATGTGTGATTGTGCCAGAATAACAACTTGAGAGATGGGGGGATTGTGAGATGTAGGTCATGAAAGCAGGTAGCCAAGCATGCCTGTAACAATGAGTTGGTTGTGAAGGAGGTGGCAATACAGTGATGAACCCAGGCTGTGCACACAGCAGCATTGCAGGGGAGGGGGGGAATCTGTGCTTTATTGCATCTGGGCCAGGATTGCTCCAAGATCCTCACCGCAAAGTGGCATAAGAGGATTAAAACATGTTTGTCAGATGGCAGCACTACGGACTGTTCCACCCTGCACTGATTGGTAAAGGTGATAGTCTCAGGAGGGCCAATACCTTGCCTGGGCCAAGGTGAAGGGTAGGTGCTCTGACTTGGCACATGAATCCCATGCTTCTGTCTGATAGACAGACCTATATCTTCTGGAGGGACTGGGAGACAAGAGGGGCCTTTGTCCTGTGGGATACCAGATAGATTGGTAATGGCTGTGCAGTAGTCAAACCAATCGGATACACCAGAATCCAATACCTGATATGTTGAGATGCCAAGTGCATCCAATGTATTGTAAAGTGCATTCTGTTGGTTCAAGATAGAGTTAGTGGGCAAGACAGTACCACCTTGGACAGAATTGCCAACCAGAATGGCCACCCACTGACCAAGGTATGAGTGGGCTTTGTGATACTCGTGGACATTTGGCCTTGGTCCTAAGACAGTGCTGATATTCATACCAATGGAGAGAAGGGCACTCGCAACATCTTTTGAAGTTGGATCATTGGCGAGGAGTGCAATAGCTGGGAGTTGGGGGAAAGGGGACATGGAGGAAAGGATGATAGTCACTAATGACATTGCTTGATTTGTAATGAGACTGCTAGACGCACAGGGGAGACACATGATCCGGAGCGCTGAGACATATGGGGTACATTTAAAGTAATTAGGCTGATGTCTAATTACTAAGTGGAATGAATGGTCCTTCTGATCAATATTTCATTGAGTCCTGAGTTGCACTGGCAGCCTTGGACTTAATGATATTATGCAAATGAATACAACATAAAGGGTATGGAAGGCTACAACATAACCTGCTCTACCTCCTCATGTGAGGTAAATACTGAGTAACATTGAGCTGGTAAAGCTTTACAAGATGTCGATAGATGATGTACCAGGGGGGATGAGAACTGACATTGTGTCCAAGCAAAAACCAGTTAGAACAGATCAGATCTCATGAGCACAGTGCCGCCCTTGATAGTGTGAGCTAATGGGAAGGTCAGTGATATGAGCCTAAATACCAGAAACTCAATGAAATGGTCAAAAGGTGGTGCAATGTTCAACTGAGCAGATGATTGAAGGCCAGAAGTGTTATTGAAGCAGATGTGAAACTGCAAACACATCACGCCAGCTCGGTTGATCCCAATAGAGGCAGTCATAGCCAGATGAGTGGCAGGAAGAGCTTCTGCAAGGAGATTGGTGGGATAACTATGTATGGTTATCTCAATGATGATATCTGTTTAGCAGATGGTTGAAAACCTATGTGAAATTGACATCATCCTCATTGACTTCCAATAGAGAGAAGATTGAGTCTTTGGAGCCTGTTTGAAGGGGAGAAAGGACCACCTTATGATGAGACTCCTGTAAAGGGAAAGGGAGATAAAGCTTAAATGAAGTCAACCACTCAAATTTTGGCATGCTAATGAATAGAATGGACCAGACTGGAGCAGAGTCCACTCATATCATTCCACTTCCAGCACATATATGGGGTGTTGGTATGTACTCCTTCCTTATCTCTGTGTGGACAGCATCAGATGGAAATATACTCAGGCTTTCTGAAGATAAGGTCTGTCAAGAAATCTTTAATGGAGACACTGGGCAAATATGCCTTGACAAGACTGGTACCAGGGCAAAGGTTAGTGACTGGGATGGATGTACACTGGCAATGACAGTATTCTTCATATTGTGAATAGTCCAATGCTATGGTGGACACCCAAGGGTACAGCTGTATCCAGCAAGTGGTGAAAGCATTTCCCTCAGAATCAGCCCTGTCACTGGCATAAGCAGTGGAAGCACGTGACAAATGATGGAATGCACATGTGTAAAACCATAGGATGGCCATCCCCTTGCCACTGGATGTGCAAGCTGGTTTGATAACCCCAGGAGTCCATGACAAGGCTGCCTCCTCCAAAGACATTGAGACATGACAACAGCTTTTCCAGGTTCAAGGCAAAAAGGGGCTCTGCATCTTCTGAGGGTGTGTCATGATGGCATTGATAGAGATCAAATGAGGACATGTCAACCCAGATGCTAGCTTTATGGGCATGTCAGTACTGGAATGTCCATGGAATATGACAACAACTGGCCCAGTCTGGTATCATCCACCTCCATGACAAACCTGATAGCAGCTGTTTGAAAGTGTATACCGACCATCTGTGAGGTAGGAGTGAGTGGTTAGTTCTGCTTTAAGCATGGAGGGGCAGGAGGAGTCACAGTTAGGTGGGGAGTGGCAGTGTGACCAAGGTTACATAGAGTTTTTAGCAACAAACATAGTGGCAAAAGATCCCCATGTTCAAGTGAGAATGACTGGGCAGATCAGTTAGGATATATGCTCAGCAGAGGGTGAAGAGGACATTACGGAGGACATGACAGTTGAGAGGAGGAAAGTGAGACACTGGCAGAGTTACTTCCACAATGCGCCTAACCTTCTCTGTTGGGGAATAGGTTGTCAGGATGCACATGACAGTGGAGAGGAGGAAGGGCTGAGTCAGAGTCAGGTCTGTGATGGGTCTAACCTTGTACTGCTGGGGTCATGTCTGCAAGTTCATTCCCAATGATGGAGAAAACATTGTCTAACCCAGGAATTTGTCTTGAACTCACAAGATATCTGACTGACAATGAGATTGTGAACTGTGCTCTGGTGAGTGGGGCCTGCTTTGGCTTGTTTTGCCCTTTGTGGAAGACAGGTTTGGAAAAGACAGTCCTCACCCTGGAAGAGAGTGTGAGGCTGTGGACAATGAGTAAGGCATCTCTAAGTAGAAAGACAAGACCAAACCATGAGTGAATTAAGCTTACTTACATGGGGCTAAGGGCACCATGCATCATTGCATATATGCAAGTTGGATTCATGCCCTGGATCTCAAGATTGTTCATATGGGTGAAGGACATGGATTGCTGGATGCAATGAAGCAATTGGCGATTGAATGCCGAGACAGGGCTGAGCCAATCCTGATCAACCTCCCTAAGTTGTCAGTGGCTACAAGCAATGTTCTTGGTCTGGAAATTATTTCATGCACAAAGAGGTGTACACAGTGAAGATTCACCTCATTGGTGGGAGGATGTTGAGCAAGTGGGAAGAAGACATGAGGAATCTGTTGAAAGATCTCTCAAAATGGAGCACTACTATCCACAACTGGTCACTGCAGCATGAGAATCCCTGGACAAGAGATACGAGTGCTGTGTTGCCTTTGCCAAAGTTTGAGAATTATCAATCACTACACCAAGTGTGTGTAGAGGTCCAACAGCTTTCAGCAAGCCTATGGCAAATGCTGCATGAATGCCAAAGCCTGGTTTCATTGTCACTATAGGGAACCCTGAGTAATGATGAAGTGTTAGTCATGTGCAAGGACCTGGCAAAGGAGAAACCGCTCATCAACATCTCCCAGCTACAAATGTCGATGAAAGTTGAAACAGTGCAATACCTGGTAGCTCAAATGCATGTGGAAGTGACCATCCTTGAGCTCCATTGCTTTGTAGAGAATAAAACAGATGATCTAGTTGCACTGGCAACATGCATAAGTGAGGTGCAACATGGCATTAGAGGGTTGTCACTCACTATAACAAAATGAGACCATGGAGTAACAAACACTGGAATTCATTTGTCTGCACTGTCAGCATTGAAGAATTGTACAAACCTCGCAAGTTTTCATTACAACTACTGAGGGGATGGTGGTTTCCAAGTGGATGACAAAGCACTATATGATATGGCACAGAACTGGCCACTGCTCGAGAGGATTGCCATAACATGGGAACAAAATCCAAGGGTTTTCTGGCCACCTTGGCCAGCCAATGAACGCATATACATGCTGGACAAACTGGAACTCAAAGGATTAGCAAGATTGACACACACTTGCCTGAAGCTGAAATGCATGAAGTTCAGCAGACTTCATGTCATGCCAGGAAGGCTGCCCTGTCCAAGATCCAAATTAGACAGTCTGGAGCTGGATGTGGACAGATGGGTTGTAACAAATGAGTTGTTTATGGCCGAGATCTTGGGACATCACTGGCCTGGACTTCACCTGGTACTGAATTGCATGAAACACATGATATGGACAAAGGTAAGCAAGAGGCTTGACACAATGTATAAAATGAAGCAGATACCATGGTAGGATTGGAAGGACGTAGACTACAAGGAGTGTGCAACATGCTGTACATATACAATGAGTATAGGGATACAAAAAGAAGGGTGGAACAAAGGGAAGCCATGTGTAGTAGACTGAAAAGGAGCAAGTCTTTGTGGGCAACCAACAATGTATATCAATTGTTAGGTTGACAAGGTTTCATTGGGGGCAACACACTGATATTTCTTCTTTGCAAAAAGAAAAGAACAGTAAGCAGATGGGAAGGGGCTTTGAGTGAGATAGGGGTACCTTTTCTTGTCAAATATGGCACATAGTGTCTCGATGTTGCATGTTCTTTTGCAAATGATGATGGTTGGCTTCAGGATCATTTTGTTTCCTCCATGTCTTGACTATAGAATCCCACATGCAAGAGTGCCATATCTCTTCTAGCAAAGGTTCAGTGACGTTCTTGATGTCAAGAAAATGGAGATGGGGTGGTACTGGCTGGTCCTACATGAAGGTGTCAGTGAACAGAATGAGATGTTCTCAATGGGAAGGCAGCTCACCTGCAATGCCTGAAGAGTAGTGGATATATCTGCAGTATGATACATAATATTCAGAGGATCATTGCAGCTAAGTCGACGATCAGATATGACGGCAAGACCAACTTGAGAAAATGGAATATCAGATGGAAGGGGTATGTGTGCATTGATGGGAATTCCCATGGCTTTCCACTTCTGAACTTTCATTGTGAGCTAGAGTATGGACATGAGGAGTGAGAAGATAAAAGCAGGTGGCAGAGTCCATACCAATACATAGTTTCGAAGTGGCCCAGTCAGGGCCTGTGCCTTCTTGTGTCCTTGGGTAGTGTTGACCTTGTTATATTGCTCTTCCACAGATAGTTCCCTAGCTGAGGGGATGTTACTTGATGGTGGGTAGTTGATGGGAATAATTGGTGGAGGATGATAGCATCTGTGACCTGAAGTGTTGCCTGGATGTGAGGACAGGTTCTTGGGAGGGATAAGTGCAATAAATTTGTTGATGATGGTGGAAGAGAAGGGACAGGGGCTGAAATAGAGGAGTGTAAGATGATGAGAAATGGAAAATGTGGATAGAAATACTGAGACATGGGCATAGCTTGCATAACTCAATGGCTGGATGGGTACTGATGGAGACTGCCATGTGGGGAATGGGGCAGGGGTGGGGGAATCTGTGTTTTATTGAGAGACAGAAGTCAATCAGTTCTTAGTCTGAGTGAGAGAATAATATATGTGCACTAGGTCAATGACTGGTGACTCAGTAACAAATGGTTCATGCTCAGCATGCTGGCAAGGCTGCACAGTGGGTCGAGGAAGAGGGATATAGGGTGGATGGGGGATTGGTTCATCCAGGTAGGGATTGGATTCCCAATTGTCAGAGTTTTGTTTGTGGGGGAAGCTTTCTTCACCAGTTTCGGTATGACTAGCCTAGGAGATGGATAAGGAGGGGGAGATAGGAGGTGGACAATAATGTACTGTACTGTTTTTGCTGATGCTGGGAGTATATGCAGGTTGAGGAGATGGAGAGTGATGATTGGGAGGAACACATCCTGTAGAGACCACTTGTGGCTGGACAGGGTGAGAAGGACATTTAACAGCTGCCTGTAGGGTGGAAATGGAAGGAGAGCAAGGGGAAGGCAGTGGCTGCAACACAGGTGGGGAAGTAGCACACAACCCTACAAGACAATGGGTGAGACTACTGATCCATGTAGGGGCTGGTGATTGACATACTGGCCATTAAATAGTGCTCCACACAGGGGTCGACAGATGATGTGGAGAGCAAGTGCTTGACAAGTTGTCAAAGTGGGCGCAATGCCCATCCATCTCTTGGTGCCAGGGGTTGGCGCAATCTGTTGAGCAAGCATTGTGGTGAATGAGGTTGGTGAAACCTAGGTACAATGCATGAGAAGGGAAGATGAAAGCAGTGGGTAGACCTCACCATTTGAATTCTTGATAGGTGTGATGGCTGGGATGAAGCAAGTGCTTGAGATCTGTGCAATTATGAAGGGCAAGGTTGTCTGGGGAATGATGATGACGGACCATGAGGTGGGGTGATTGTACAGGTCCAAGACAAGTGCTCCGGTAACGTGAGACTGGTTAACAATGGAGGCACGCAGGGTGAGCCGGAAGTATTGTGGAGCGTGAAGCGGAGTGCGATTATGATTACCAAGCCATGAGTAAGCATCCGAGACCAGTGGGAGACCCTCAAGAACGTCCCTGACGCGTGAGGGTCTCACACAGAAAATGAGCTGTCCTCTCTGCATCACCATAGATACGCTCCCCTGACTGGACGGGTCTAGCCTCGGCCCGGGTCTTAAGCTCTCTCAACTCGCTTACCACGGGGCGGAGGTACCCGGCCGGAAAGGGTAAGCCGCGCGCCGTGTTTGCCCCTGCTTCTTTATGAGAAGACCCTCCACCAGTCGCCCGCCAGCGCTCCCCGACGCGACGGGGTCACGCTCACCTTCCACCATCCCACCCTCGCGGACTAAAACGGGTCTTGGGCGCCGATAGTATTGATATTGACATTGATATTAACGTCTCAGTTATCATTGTCAAAAAGGGGACAGCAGGGCATTAATGACAACAACAACTCAAGAGGGAACGATCCCCAACAGATGGCACGACCTTAGACTACCTCTCGAACCCTACCTCCTCACCACCTCTTCCCGTCTTGCCACTTCTATCAAGGAACTTACCCCGGCTGGAGAAGCAGTCTATGAGCCCGAAGAAGATGCAGCGCAGCGCTTGACGAAAGACCTCAGACGGCTGTGGGAGAGAGGGGACTATGCAGAGCTCACTGAGGACGCGTTGAGGCGGGAGATGGAGCAGGAAGGTGGGAAGGACGATCAGATCCAGGAGGATCAGGAGCAGGAGGACGATGGGGAGGAGAGCGAGGAAGAGGCCATCAGACCTGAGGAACTGTGGAAGCTTAAGCAGGAGGTGTTGACCAAGCTTCAGTACGTCCCTACTGATGTTGATGAACGCCGCTAACCAGCGTATAGCGAAGCGATGCAGCAGACGGTGACCTCGCAAACCCTTCTCGCGCTACTTCAACAGTCCTCCGGACCCCAGCCGAAGCCTTCCAGACTGGGGATGCCTGCCCCCCCTCCCCCTCCCATCCCATTGGACGGGTTCCCAAGCATGACGGCAACGCTCACGACCCCCAACGCACCAGTGGCGGCCACCCAGCTTCGGAGACTCCAGCTCTCCGCCGGGCTGAGAAATAGCTCCCTCCGCCACGCGTGCCGGATATTCGACACCGGGGCAGAGGACATCGAGCGCTCGCTTTCGAGAGAAGGGCAGTACTTCCAGCGCGCGCTGGCGCTGCGCGAACACTGGCGTCTTGCACCCCGGGTTGAGCGTGGGCAGCGCAGGCGAGCAGCTAAGGATTCGGCAAGGGACTTTGAGGTGTATTACGGGATGGAAGGGGCTCCGTTGGCAGAGCGCGCGAGGGCTGTCGCACACCTCAACCCTACGAGTGGGGAGGGGGAGCTCCTCTTCCCCTCCCGTACGCACAGGCGGCTCCGAGTCTCCCTGCACGTCCTCTCCCCCTCTAGCCTCGCACACCTCGCAGGATCCTCCACGCCCGACACCCCGCACTCAGAGCCCAAAGCAGACCTAAACACCCAGCTAAAAGAAGCACAACGCGAAGTCCTCGATCGAGAAATCTTCAACCGCATCGTGAGGGAATCGATGGATCTCGTACAGCTCTCCCCAGTGATAAGGGAACGGATGGTCTCCCTGCGTCCTCTGCCAGAGTTGGAGCTCACGTTCGAGCTCATAGACCCGTCCGAGCCGCCCGATCCCTCCGACCCAGCAGAACCTTCTCATTCACCGGCGATGCAGCTCCTCTGTTCCCTCCTCCCCCTCCTACACCTCCCACGCACACGCCCCTCTCTGCTCCAGCCCATACTCACCCTTCTCCAATACAACCAATTCACGTCCCTCCTCACCCTCACGCTGTCCCATATCCAGCAGTCGCTCGCCTCCTCCGGCCTCCCAATCCAAATTCGTAAATCCCTGGTCTCCCCCACACCCTCAGTCTGGCAATCGATACTCGGCACAGACCCCCATGCCCTAGGGGGCGAAATCCGACTTTCCCTCCCCGAGTGCGGCCCAATCTTCCTGAGCGTCTCCTACCCTTCTGCCCTAGTTCTCCAATCCCAAAAACAAGCGATCTCTATCACGTCCCTCGCTGAGCTACGCCAGTTCCTGGCAGCGGAAATCCTCGCCCGGCTAGGGAAGCTGTTGGAACGTATTGCTAGGCGGGTACTGCGCGCGCATGCGGCCTCACTAGGGGGGGGTATGGATGTGGAATGGACACTCGGTCCAGGGGGGAAAGGTTGGTGCGAATGGACCTCCGGAGCAGTAAGCTTCCATCTCACCATCTCCCTCTCCCTCTCTGCTTCATCCACCTCCCCCTCCTCCTCGGGCGAGCACGAACCCGATTGGGGGACGTTCGACCTCAAGGGAAAAGCCGTGTTCTCGAAACGTTTGGGCAGGGAGGGGATGACCCCTGCTACCCCGACACCGACACCGACACCGACACCGACACCGATACTGGGCGTGGGGATGGGGACGGGGATGGGGAGAGTGGAAAGACTGACCAAGAGCTGGCCTGAGAGGGGCGTGGGTGTGGAGGAATGGTTCGAGAGCGGGATGAGGTGGGTCGTGTTAGACGAGTGAGCCTGTGGGCCTGTGGGCGGTCGGCTGGTGGTGGTGGTGGTGGTGGTGGTGGTGGTGGTGGTGGTGTGCGGGTGAGTTGTAGCCTTCGGTTTGTGGTTTGGGAGTGTTTGAGGGAGGGGCGACTGTTGTGGTTCACATGTCTTTGTAGAGCTCTAGCAGATTAGCCAATGACATACTTGCAGAGCCCGTTGTTTGTTGCGTGTTTCTATGCGTTTCTGTCTTTGGCATACACTCGGAAGCTTGGTCTCAGGTAGGCTGGAACCTCAACTTGTCAGAAACGTTTTTACCCCAAACATACACCACAAGTGGTTAAATAATGTATATGGTGAATGTGATCCAGAGCCCAACTGCCCGAGAAACCGTTGTTCCACAGGCCTTCTGGCTAAAGCTGGACTCTATCCAACTGTGTCCTTCTGGAAGTGTACAAGGAGCCCGTCCTCTGCCCCCTCCCATGCATGCTATTACAACAGGGCTAGGACAAATCCAGCCTCTGAATTGAAGCAGACACCGCATTGCTCCATCGCCATGGGTGGCAGACGACATCCTATCTGGTTTTCGGACCGCAGTACTGGCAATACTAGGCTGTCCTCATGTGGTTTTACCTGGTCCGGGAGAAGACGGTGCTCCTGCAGTGCCTCGGGAGACCGACAGCCCAGTGGGGGGTGGGGGAATGGACGAGAGACAAGGAAGGACCGACACCCCGCAGTGCTTTATCTCCGAGATCTGCGACACGCACGAAGGTAGGCTCGTCGGTCTGTCGTGTACGTGTACAGCACTGATGGAGGCTTGGCATATGCTTGTGCACCTCGGGATTGATGGTGATGGTGATAAGTCGACCTATTCAAAGTGGATGGATGGATGATATCCTCGGGATGTTCTCTGCATCGATATCATACACACCACACAGCAGGGGCATGTCCTGTACTGGCGCGAGGATCATACCCTTGCGAGGCCGCGGAACAGATGCAGACTCGCACAGCTACAGACTGAACTAACAATGATGTGCAGCGAGCTGGAGCTGGATGTACGAAGGATGTTCTGAGACTAGCAGTAGAAACCCGATGTCGCGCCCCGTTGCTTGTAGAGCGATGCGACAAAGGTGTATTCCCAGATGTCGCGGTGAACAGATGGCAGCACAAGATGAGCGGATAAACTTGCCACCACAAGTGCAGAAATCGCAGTCAATCAGAATAACCGTCGTGTGCTCAATTTTGTCCGGCACGAGGATGAAATGTCGCGGCACGGGGTCGGCTCCGGACAACCCGCGCGAGACCAGAGGAGTTTGAATTGCCATGAGCCGGTAACAGCGACAATTGATCCCGAATGTAATCCTCCGCGGGCCAAGGTGACTACGAGGGATTGGTCGCGATAAGAATGGGACTATGAGGGAGTTTTTTCGTGTCTGGGGAGGTCGTCATTGGCCCCTTAATGGGATGTGTCAGCATTGAGAGACATTTGGTTGCCTGGTTAAGGATCGTCCTGTACAGAGAGGTGATTGGGGGGAAGCACCGTGGAGGTCTTACAAACGTGCCCTGTGCATGCGCAGCAAACATGCTAAGAATAAATGGCTATTAATGTTAATGTTGTTATTATGGAAAATGTGCCCCTGCTCGCGGTTCCTGCCGTCCTGTTGATGCGCGTGCAAAGGCTGAAAGGAACCCTGAGTTTAGCGTCCCGCCCACGTCTGCCGCGCGGCGATATCCCTTGTTTCTGCAGAATGACGATATTTATTGGAAAAGGCAGAAAAGCGCAGCAGGGTGAAATAATGGAAGGTATACGCCGGGAATGCCGGATGGATTGGAAACAGAGAGTTGAGGAAGGAGAGTGAAGTGTATAAAGTTACGTCAGTGATGCCGAGGGGCGATGAAGTACGGCAAACTGTGGATATTGAAGGGAGTAAAGGCCAAGAAAGAGCTAAGAGAAAGAAGATGAAATGCCGAGCGCCAAGTCTTCGAATTGTAAAGGTATCCCATTAGGATCACTACCCGATACCGGTCAATCTTCCTTTTCCTCTTTCTTTTGCGCAGCATTCTCTTCTTGATCTCCTCGACCTATTCCCCTCCTTGCAACACAACTACTTTCTTTCACTTATTTTCTTTTTCTTGTCGACTATAGGGTTAATACCACCACACTGGTAAAAACACACGCCGCCCTCTCCGGGGTAAAGGGATTCTCTTCCAGGCCAAAAGCATTTCATGGCCCCATCCTGGGAACAGCGGCAGACGTCCCTGCCAACAACAACTCAACAGCTCCATTCCTCTCCAAGCGCGTCGAGCAGCGCATCCCAGTCATCGAACTCCCCTTTCCTCCCCTCTCTAACCGCACTCCCATCCATCTCCTCCCTCCGTATTCAAGCACTCGCTCTCTCTTCCTCTCGTCGCCTCACCCGCGCACCCCGCGCCCTCATCGCAATCTGCCTCGCCCTCCTCGTCACCTTCTCATACCTTATCTACCGGCCTGCGCAGGACGCCTCCCTAGCACTGGAAGATGAGCTCGATATGGAACTTTCTGCAGACCCGCTCGATCGGGGCTGGGTACGCTTGCCCCCTCCCCCACCAGGGCAAGCAGGACTCGAAGGCAAGTTGGAGGCGAAGCGTATGCCCTGGTGGGCGAATGCCGATGTAGGCGGGAGGAGTCCGTGGGACCACGTTCCCCGTCTGAGGGAGAAGAGGATGCGCATGCTTTTCCTGCTGAGTAAGTTCCTCTCGCGTGTACACTGAACCTATGTTGATCCGCGGCGAACAGCATATCATGACTACATGGAGCGTCCCAATTCTGTGTTCTACGAAATCGTCGACGCGGCACGCCGACACCCCGGACTGGAAGTCGCGGACGTATGGGGCCCCGGCTGGGCAGACTGGGACGACACCGTCCCGGTCTCTGCGAACCTTGCGCGGCGCGTCATCCCACCGGCGAGCTGTAACTGGGTCGAGGAGGACGTGGAGGTGTACGCGAGCGGGCACTGTTTTGCGAGCAATGACGAGTTCTCCCAGGGCGGACCGGTGGGTTGCGGGTTCTACGATATCGTGCGTCTTCCACTACTATCTCTCTGCACGTGAGCTACGCTAACCCTATTGCAGGTCTGGACATTCTCGGAATTTAAGGATAAAGACGACCCTCTGATGGACTACCCCGGGTGTGGCACGCTCATGGTGCACCAGTTGGGGGATTGTCATAGTAAGATTCGCTGGGTGTGGATGCCCGATCACGATATGGAGGTGGATCATGATCCGGATCATAGTTGTGTACAGTGGTTCTATCCTTGGCAGGGGAATGTGAGTCAGATTCCTTTGCTTTGTTTTTCCCGCGTGTAGTGGTCGTTTGGAGGAACAAGCTGATCGAGTGACAGATCACGGTGTCAAAGTACGCCTTCGAGATGCTCGAAGTGTTCAAATGGGACCGTCTTCGCCGGTTATACCCGGGCATGCAAATGCAGCTATTCGGGCACTCTCCAGACTCTGCCAAGTGAGTGTTTCCCTTTCCCACGCAAGAAGACCTGAGATTGACGGAATACAGCGAATGGGACTTCTACCCACTTGACTGGGCCAAGAAGAAAAACGATGCTGTCGTTTTCGGGCATGACGGGCTGCTCTACCCGCTCCGTACGACCGTGACGAACGCGGCCCAGTCCCGTCCGCCACGAACGTTCATCAAGCACCACGTCGCGCCGGATTTCATCATCGCTCATACGGAAGAAGAGTTCATGGTCGGTGTCCCGCCTACGTACTGGACTGGCCAGCCGCAGTATCGCCCGCAGGTGGCAATACGCGAGGACTTTGCAAAGGGCATGAGGGAAGCGAGGATATGCGTGTTCGATAGTGTTGTCGAGAGGAAGATGATAAGGAAGTATGCGCAGGCATGGCTGAGGTGCGTAGTTCGTCCAGTCCATGACGTCGCGCGATGCTGACAGGCGTAGTGGGTGTGTCGTTGCGGCTGATTTACCGACTGAGCAAGAAGGTGACATACGCGAGTTTATGATCGAGCTCAAGGCCTCCTGGCCTATCGAGCGGATCAACGCCGTGATCCGGCAAGAACTTGCCAACCCCGACGCGCTGCGGCAGAAAGCGCTTCTCGGGTTCGCCTATGCCCGCCAGCAACTGACGAACCTGGCCAAGGTCAGCAATATCATCGACCTTGCGGACCGGTACCGGCGAGGTGAGAGAGGGTATGATATGCAGCTTGGGTTTAGTGTGCGGTGCAGGAGCTACCATTTTGAGGACGGGGCGTTTAAGCCCCCGTGGTGTGAGGGTATTAGGGGGATGGAGGAGTGAATGAACGGGTGTAGAGGTAGAAGAAGGAATGGGAAGGGAAAGGAGGAAGTGGATCTACTGTATGAATAGTGCGCTTGGTATATCTAGGAAAAACGGACTCTTATCGTTCTTGTGCATGAGTCGTGCTGCTTCGGAGATGGTGTAATAACCGTATTTGTCAAGTCGAGTCACGTGCTTCTTGTCCTCAGGGTGCAGACCGACTTTCACGATCGAACGTACGCGCTCTGGCTCTGGTCAACATCATTCATTTCTCGTGAAAGTCATTGGTTCTCCACTGAGCATATACTGATAACCCGTGCATGAACTCATCTCCGGCTACTCCACGGTCTTCGTACAAAGTCCACTTGGCGCTCGAGGCTTATCTTGTTTCTTGTCCTTCCCCCGGTTCTTGACGCGGGGATAACGCCATCATCGCGCCCAATGAGCACCATCCTGCAACTGCCTACTCTCTTCTCTCCTCCATGTCCTGCCCTGCACTTCGACTCTCTTGATGAGCGTCGACGGCTGGGAGTGGCTGCAAAGCACGCGATAATGAGCAATTTACTCTGCTGTCACACTCATGCCCGCAAATACCTGACATACTGTAGTACCAGTGTGAAAAGCGTATAAAACCGGTCAAGGCGGGGAAGCACATGTCTCCAGCTGGTTCTATTCATTCCTCGCCTGACTTCCTGGGTTGATTATCTGAGGCTGCTCTGAAGCGAAGATCGATGAGTCCCTCGAAGAAGGAAGATCAGCCTACGGAGGCGTATGTTATCGCTGATGGGTTTGCGGGCGTCCCGGAAGTCCCCGTCTTGGAGGGTGACCTACCGCCTAAAACTACATGGAGGAGCTATGTCTGGTCTAGTGGGTTCTGATAATTTTCTGATTGTAGTCAAAGCCTAGTGTGCGTTTCTTGTAGCACTCGATGTGTCTAAGGAAGAGGCGCGGTTCCTTACCAAACTGGATTTGTGCCTCATCTCGTCTGCCGCGCTGGGGGTCATGATCCGCTATCTTGACCAGTAAGGACACGTGTTTATTATTTGATCAGGAACAGAACTGACATTACTCTAGGGTCAATATCACGAATGCCTTCAGTAAGTGATACCTATGTCTTCGGAAATCCTGTTCTAATATCGCATGCAGATAGCGGTATGAAAGAAGACCTCGGACTGTACGGTAACGAGCTCAACTACGCAAACGCCTTCTGGAGTGCAGCCTACGTCATCGGACAAGTCCCTAGCAACCTGATCCTTACTCGGGTCAGTCGGCCCCTGCCAGAAATATGCGGTTTGTGCTGATCTAACTGAGCTAGGTGCATGCTCCCTATTATATCGCATTCCTGGAATTCGCGTGGACGATATTCACCATCGCCACGTCTGGAGTGAAGAACACAAGTCAGCTATATGCTATCCGTTTCTTGTACGTCTGTTTCTTTTTCCCCATTAGCTCACGATCTGACGACATGCAAGCGTCGGATTATTCGAAGCAGGCCATTTCCCCGCGGTGATGTACGTAGCTTCGAGCTATTACAAACCGCATGAACTCGCTCGGCGAAATACGATCATACAAGTGTTCACTGCTGTCGGGCCGCTTTTCTCTGGCTTCCTCATGGCTGCTGTCTACTCGGACTTGAATGGTCGTGCTGGTTGGCCTGGCTGGAGGTGGCTTTATGTGTAAGTTTGTCGTCGTTTGAGAGGACAGGCTGCTAACATGAAGACAGGATTTGCGGGTTGATCTCCTTCCCATGCGCTTGCTGGACGGTTGTCGCCATGCCCGAACTGCCATCCCGCATCAAGCCGAACTGGTAAGACGTTTTCAGAACCATCGTCGCTTGCGCATCCTCACACAGATTCAGGTTGTACTCCGCTGCAGAGATCGAGATCGCAAAAAGACGGATGCCCGGAGAAGTCAAGCTCTACACGGGTTTGTTCAAGTGGAAAGATGTCCTCCGTTGGCATAAGACTTGGCACGTCTGGTTATGTGAGCTCGATTTCCTTTCCTTAACGGCATGATGCTGATGATGGAATAGTCCCCTTGTTCTTCTTGTGCAATTCTCAGCTGAGTCAACCTGGTGGATCCAGTGAGTACTTTGGCGGTTAAAACCGCGCCCTATTTCTAAGACACTCCTAGTGATTTTCTGGGTCAAGAGCTACAACGTCACGGGACAGCCAGCGGTCTTCTCCGTGCAAGCGATCAACATCATTCCTCTTGGTGTATGTCATTCATGCGAACCAAGTTGGTCCATACTGAATTATCGATAGATCAATCTGATCCAAATCGTTGGAGCACTCCTCTCGTCCTGGGTATCCGACGCACTTCCAGGAAGTCAGCGCTGGCCATCTATGGCATTCGCCGCTTTTTCTGGTATCATCTTTTCCATTTCCCTCGGAGCTACGCCTGTGCATCCGGCTAATCGGGCCAGCCGTTGGGCACTCTATTGTGAGCCTCTGTCGTCGCTCCGTCGACTCCTGCTAACAAGGAAATAGACCTCACTGCACTCTCTGGGACCTCGGCAGGAGTGACGTGGACATACGTGAACGAGACGAGCAGACACGACCCCGAAAAGAGAGCCTATGTTTCCGCAATGGTATGTCGTATCCGTTGACGCGTCTCAACTCTGCTGATCAATGAGCAAACAAGATGAACGCCATCGCGTACATCTTCAGCGCATGGGTTCCGATATTCACTTTCCCCACTCAGAACCAACCGTATGTCACCGTTGGCAATTACGTTACAGCTGGATTCGGCGCGGTTCAACTGATAGTTGCCTTTCTTATCGGCTATCTGGATCATCAGGATAAGAAGCGAGCGAAAGCAAATCACGAGCTTGAGCGAAAACGGCAGGCTGATGCGGAATCGACTCCCAGCGATGAGAAGGAATTGCCCGAATCCGATTAAGCGTGTCTTGGTCGATCTGATTTAGTGGGTCTCGGGAATAGGAAGGAAAGATTTTTTGTCTCGCCTTTTTTGTTTTGGTAATTGTATCAAGGGATGTGGATGAGAATGCACCATTAGAGGATCGAATGTCCAGCACCACCAATCCGAGTTTAGAGTTCAGCAGAATGAGCTACATCTAGCGATGAGACAAGGCTATGAGTGGGTGTACGAAATGACCAACGACCAGCTCCTGACATTGGGTAAATGCATCGGCGCATAGTTAATACATTAAGCTTGAGAGAGAGAGAACACCCTGGTGTATTAAGCAGTCTTACAGATATTACAGAGCGGTGACAAAGACAGCGCTATTGACACGTAGAGGAACAAGTAAAACAGAAAAGACGTAGGAGAATGAACAGGTGAAAAGTACGCCACAGGGCGATCATTCGCAGCTGGCTACCGACGGCAAATACAGAGGGGAAAGGGGAAGTACGGGTAATAACACAGAGCGAGACGTCAAATCGCCCGAGAGATAGATGCGTCTAACATTTTGAGACTGAAGTTCAAGCGCCCATTTGCTCATCACCAGCCATCCATTCATTCCACAGATCATCGCCTACACCAGTGGTACCCATTACGCTGCCTCCAGCCGATGCAGGGGGAGAGAAATGTTGGGTACCACCTACGCTAGCCGCGGGTGAATGGCCGTACGGGTATGCTCCGGTAGGAGCACCCTGCAGATGCACGCTTGCAGCACGAGGTGTGGGGTGCGTTTGTGAATGTGCAGGCGACTCGGCCGGCTGCCAGGGCGATTGAGGGGGGAGAGAAGCATTTGAGTGGCCCACGGAGCCGGGGCCGCTCATTGACGGACCACCGCCCACCATGTTCATCAACCCGGCATTGCCATACATTCCATGTGCCTGAGGTTGACCAGGTAGCGGCATTTGTTGTTGCTGTTGGGGGGTCTGAGCTGGCTGAGAAACAGTGGATGGTGTACGAGACTGTGCAGCCGTTTGAGCCGCGGCTTGAGCGGACCATAAAGCAGCACCCGGCAGGCCAAATTGCATGCGACCAGCGGGCAGCGCTTGCGGCTGTAGCTGTGTTTGATGAGCGTCCGGCATCTGGCCATGCTGCTGACTCTGCTGCCGTTGCTGCATCTGCATCTGCTGTTGTTGAAGCATCTGCTGTTGAAGCATTTGTTGTTGAAGCAATTGCTGCGGGTTCATTCCAGGCGGGACGTTCATTCGAGGTGTTGCAGGCGGAACACTTCCCTGAGGAGACAGTTGGCTCGGGTTCCTCTGTCGCGGTACGGGCCTTTGAGGTGGCGGCATGCCCATTTGAGGATTTGGTTGAGCTCCAGAGGTAGGTGCGGATACCATGCCCGAATTCATGCCGTTAGGGAGACTATAGCCCATGTTCTGCTGCTGCTGCTGCTGCTGCTGTTGTTGTTGCTGCAGTTGCGATTGTCGGTACTGAGCCCACACGCGTGGATCAACGCCAGGAGGAGCGCCAGCCGTCATAGCAGAGTTCGCCACATTCTGGGCCATCGCTCCAGACACGTTCGCCATGCTTGGCATATTTTGCCCTACAAGAGACATATTGCCCAAACCAGCAGTCATTGTCGGCATACCCATACCGTTGACCCCCATCCCCGGCTGCTGAGCGGCACGCTGCTGCCGCTGCAAGTGCGACATGGGCTGCGGTTGCTGGCGAGCCTGCAGAGCTGCCATTTGTTGTTGTTGCTGTTGTTGCTGCTGTTGCTGCTGCTGTTGACGTCTGGCGAGCGCCTGTTGCTGTTGCTGATATGCCTGCTGCAAATTCTGCATCTGCTCGGGACTCATGCTGTTGGGCATCATCATATTCCCCATCTGCTGGGCTTGCGGAAGCTGCATCTGTGCCTGGCCAGGTGTCTGCTGAGGTGTTTGCTGCGGCTGCTGGACATGCTGCCTGCTGATTGGAGCACCCTGAAACATGTTCTGCATCTGAGCCTGTATTGGTTGCGCAGGTGGCAGCATTTGTTGCAATTGCTGCATTTGAGTGAATGCCTGCTGCATCGGCTGACCAGGTTGTGCTTGGACCGTTTGCTGCGTTTGCTGTATCTGCTGAGCTACATCGGTACTGGGAGGCGAGCCTTGATGGGCCGGGGTCTGCCGCGATGGTGGTCGATGCTGCGCGATTGCGATAGGTGGGGGAACAAACTCGGCCGCATTCGAGCTCGCGCTGGCTGAGCGGCGATGAGCGTCCGCCTGGCTAGCCATAACCTGTTGCATTGCCGCCTGCTGTAAAGCAGCTTGCTGTTGTTGCGAAGTCACTCCCGATGGAATACGGGGCCGGACATTGGGCACGCGTGGAGTACCTTGTTGTGCCTGCCCCGATTGCATCTTCTGCATCATGATTCGGTGCTGCAGCCACTGCTTCGCATCGACATTAGTAAGTGTAAGTGATGGATGATCCATAGGACGTACCCTAGCCTGCATCTCCTGATACTGCAGCCATTTGATGCTAGGATCTTGAGTGTCGTAGCCCGGCGTCTGCTCCTTGATCATCCTGACAACAGGATCATTCGGGTTGCTGATCTTGCTCAGGACGTTCACTACTTGGTTTTGTGGAACCTTGTCCAAGGGCGTCGGCTGGAAGTTGATCATGCCTGGCTGATGCGTTGGGCGTTGTTGTTGCTGCGTACCTAAAGGCGTTTGATGCTGGGTAGGAGCAGGAGACGGCGCGGCATCAACCTGAGGCGCAGGTTGAGCAACAGAGGGAATTTGAGGCGCCTGGGGTACCTGCGGTTGAGGGGTACTCTGAGCTTGCTGTGCTTGTTGACGCTGTTGTTGCTCTTGCCACTGCCTTGCTTGCTGCTCAGCCTGCTGCTGCTGTAACAACGCTTGTCTCTGCTGGAAAATTTGCTGCTGTTGGATCTGCTGCTGCTGCTGCTTTGCGAGCATCTCCCTGTGTGCCTGCTGCTGAGCTTGTTGAGCCTGTTGCTGGGCAACTTGAACAGCCTGCATCGCTTGTTGCTCCTGTTGCTGTTTGAGCCCAGCAGCCTCCCGCTCTTTTTCAGCCCTCGCACGCTGGTTGGCAAGCGCCTGCTGTCGGATACTCTGCTCTCTATTCTGTTGCGGTCCTGCAGAGGGCAAGCGTGTATGCTGCGGACGTTGAGACGTTATCTGATTCTGCGGCGTCTGAGGTTGCTGGGCTGTCTCGGCAGCAGGAGACTGGGGCTGCTGCTGCAAGGGCGGACTGGACTGCTTCTGCTGAGCTGGTTCCTCAGCTAGTGCCTGAGCCTGAGGGGAAGTCGTAACAGCCGGCTGGGCCTGAGCCGGGCTCTGTTCCTGCTGAGCCTGGAGTTTCTTGGTCGGTGTCTCCTCCCTCCCTTCATCATCCCCCTCTCTAGGCCGCTTCATGCCCACGATCCCACCGGCACCCGCACTGACGTATTTGCCCCCATCAGATGTGAAGATCTCAGCTGCACGGCGATAGAGCTCCATCAGCTGTTCAGTATCGAGTCCCGGCACGACGGGAGGAGGCCTGATATGCTCAATCTGCATAGGGAGGAGGATCTGTCTTGTCGCAGCGAACAGAACGCGGTTCTGGATCCAAGCGAGGTTACGTTTAAGTCTTTCCCAAAACCTGTGCATCAACCGGTTGGTCAGCCACACACAGGTTCACGTCATAGACCGATAGGATGAGAAAGCACGCACTCGATGTACTCTGCGTCCCTCTTGCCGGATTTCTGCAATCGCAGGCAGATCAAAAGCAGCTCTTCGTTAATTCGGAGCATGATGTCCGCCTGCTCCTGGAGCATATGCGCCGCTTCTTGTGCCGGGCCAAGTTTCTGCACCTGGAACTGCTGATGTTGTGCTTGCTGAACCTGCTGCTGAGAAGCTTGCTGCGTCTGCAGTTGCAGTTGTTGTTGTTGCGAGGCAACCTCAGCACCGTCCGGGCCCTTCCCATCATGCTGAGCAGAGGAAGACACCGAGTCCACGAGAGTGGGAGAAGTCGGTGAGCTCCCCGCACTCCCCGAACCAGCATCAGAGCTCTTCCCATTCACTCTAGGTGCCGTCGTAGGCTGTACTCCGTTTACAGTCGGCTCGGGAGGGTCGACATGTGCCTGAGGGGCAGAGTCGTCTATATGCATCTCTTCGTCCTTCTCCTTCTCTGCAGCGTTCACCCGCTCAGGCAACCTGAGATCCTCCAGCCTCCCCATCTCCCCTCCGCGCAAAGGCGAGCTAGACTTCGGCCTGCTTGGAAGCTGGACCGGTGAGTTGCCTATTGTAGGTGGCTGGGCGGATTGGGCTCGTGCTGGAGCAGCGCTGGGTGGGAAGAGCGTATCGATGACTGTTATAGGAGGTTTGGCTTGATCCGTTAAGGAAGGGTGGTCTGCTGCGGTCGGGGTGGGCGGGTGCGAAGGCTGCGGTTGTGGCTGCGGCAGCAATTCGGCTTCAGATTGCGATTCAGGCGGGGGATGTGGTTGAGGAGAAGGAGCAGGGAGCAGGTCGGACGGCTCCGTCTCCCCAGCAAGCTCCTTGTCCATCATATCCATATCCAGCTCCATCTGCATCTCCATATCCATATTGACGTCGCCAAAGATATCCAGGGCCTCGTCGTCCTCCCTACTCCCGCTAGCGCAGTTCTCGTCAACGTTCCCGGAATCGTTGTCGTCGTCCGCGTCCAGCCCGCCGAGGAGAGCGTTCATCTCCTCGTCTTCTTCCCGCTCCCGTTCTTCTCGGCTCTTTTCTCTCGGAGGATCCACAATCCCATTCACGTCGGTCGATGCAGGTGCAGACTCCGCAAGTGCAGGGATGATATCAAGGGCAGGAACATCCTCGTGCTCTTCGATTTCTTCCTGCGGCTCTTCCTCCCCTTGCCCAAGCCGAATCTCGTTACTTAATGGGCTGCTCTTCTTTGGTAAATGCGGAGGACTCTTATGTGCTACCCCGCTCGGTCGGGTCAGCACGGGCGTAGCAGGTTTTGCTGGGTGGGGAAAGGCGAGGGTGGGGGATCGACGGGGCGGGGTGGTGGGTTCTGAAGGTGAGAGGAATTCAGCGGGTGGTGGTGGGGGCGCAGGTGGGGAAGTGGTTGCTGCTGGTTGCGCTATTGAGTTTGCTGAATCGGTAGGGTTGGATGATGCAGGATCTGAGGGGATGACTTGAGGTTCGCTCTCTGGTTGGAAGTCGTGCCCCGGTTCGGGAGCAGCAGCAGCATCGAGATCAAAGTCTCCAAAAAGGTCGTCGTCTGCCGCATCCGCATCTGCTGCATCAGCGTCCTCTTCCACGCCTTCTGCGATGATGTCAGGTAGGGTTATGGGAGGATAAGGAGAGTGCACACCTGGATGGGGAGGATAGGGAGGTAGGGAGAGGGAAAAGTCGTCTAGCGAGGTGGCCATCGCGGAGTCGTGTCAGGAAGCCGTGGGTATCGTGGATGGTCTGGGGGATGTAAGCGAATATCCTTTGACAAAGACGGCAAAAGCAGGAAGAGGTAAACAGGGTGAAAAATCAGGGGTGGGTGGGGGTGCGCGACAGACGGATGCGAGCGCTTAGGGACGTCCTCGTCGTCGAGTGCGTTGTCTGCACCTGTTCTCCAACTCCCAACTCTGCAAGCGCCCAACAGCACCGTCCGAGGTGAAGATGTCCTCGGGGACCGGCAGTAGAGACTCGGGCCGTAGCTCGGCGGTCGGTGGTAGTGTGACTGGGTGACGGAGCACGGAAGGGGTGTTAGAGGTCGGTGAGTCGGTGCTGGTTGCGATGGATGGCGTAACGATAAGATTCCCGTTACTCCAATGGATGGGGCAAAGATGCACGGCTTGGTAACAGGGTCTTTTTGTCCTGATGGGAGTTGTTTTTGTTTGCCGATGAAGGCATGTAAAAGAGGAAAAGGAATGGGAAATGAATAGATTTGAGTTATTGTTACTTACGGTGGAGACGGGATTCCCTGAGAGATTCAAACCAAGTTAGAATTCGATTCTCCCCGTTGTTTGACACAGAAGTAATAAAAGTGGAGGAGCCAGCTGATGACTAGACAATAATGGAGAATAGAACACTTTGGTGGTAAAATGAACTATGACTTTGTCGAGGTAATGGAGGGGCGTATTGGGTCAGCCTCGAGTAATGCACAGCTGGCGACGACGCGGGCCACTTTGCAACCCCCCCCC